GCATATATGGAGGTAGCACGAAATCAATACCGTATTCTTTCAAGACCGGCTCCAGAATATCGTTTGTCAGACAGTAACGCGTCTCCTTCGTACCCTTCTTGGTCTGCCCCAGACCCTTCATTCTTGCCTGTAATTACAACATAGAGTTACAGCGTAAGCAGTAAAATAAATTCACCTGCTGCATCGCATCAAGAATGATGTCAGAAACATATTTCTGAGTTGCGAGAGCAACCAACCTGAAAAAGGGCAGCTGTAGCTAATCGTGCGATGTTAAAAGAGCTCTATGCAGTGTCAAATAGGGACCACATCTCACTAAACACCAACTTGTGATGAAAAAGGATTACCTCACTATCCTTGGATCACTGCAGTCGCATCCGCATGCACGCATAAAATGCGTTGTTACCGCATCTGGAATCGTTGGCACATAATCCTCCAATTCGTTGATGAAGTCACGCATATTGATGGTTGATGGCTCCTACAAACGTTAAACGGTTGAAAATGGGGAATGGCTCAATGCAATATTCGGAAAAAAGATGATACCAGTGAAAAAGCGAAACTTTAATCAAAAAATGAGAAAGGAAAACTCATGGACACGAAATTTACCTCCACTGAATGAGAAAAGCAAAAAAAGGGCAATAATCGAGATGCTATGCTATGAAAAATAAAACCGAAAAATTCCAAACACAAATAGAAAACATGTGATGATTGGAGCCTTTGCAGTATGGGTATCTACACTGTCCCATAATGTTTGATATGAAAAATGTCTGCAAATAAACTATAAATGGACCAGCACAAACTATTTTTTCAGTGGTCATAAATGCACATTTTGCCTAAGTAGAAAGAACCAAACAAAAGTATAAGTTAGCATGAAGCTGCTTGAACAATGCGAACTCCAATGATTTTTTCATGGATAAAAGTTAATTTATGGGATGCCTCGAAAAGTTGTAAGTTGAAAAAACAAATCATAAAAAAACACAAGATCACAGAAAAAATTAGGCATTATAAGCATACTACTTGAGCAG